AGGTCATTACACGTGCGATAAAACTACTGGTCATAAGGTTTGCCGCGTTGGATGGTATGATGCCAGCTGTAAAGTATACTGTATGCCTTACGATGACAACACGAACGGACATTATTCATGCGATCCTGGGACAGGAAGAAAGATTTGCCTAAAAGGATGGTATGGACTCACCTGTAAGGTGCACTGTGTCCCTAAGAATAACTCGCTGGCGTGTTACAAGTGCGATTCCCGAGGGCTAAAAGTTTGTTTGCGTAACTGGTATGCCAAAAATAAATGTAGTGTTTATTGCACACAGACTGATGATTCTAGGGCTGGCTACAAGTGTGACTCGAACAGAGCCAGGATGTGTTTACAGGGCTGGTATGGACCATTATGCGATTGCAAAGCAAGGAATGACTCGTTCCATGGCTACACTTGTAATATCACAACCGGAGAAAAAATCTGCCTCAAGGGATGGTTTGGTGACTACTGCGAGATTTTTTGTTCACCAAGAAATGACTCAGTTGGTCATTACATTTGCCAGAGTGGTACTGGAGCCAAGGAGTGTCTGCCTAACTGGTATGGAGAAAACTGTACTATTTACTGCCGATCCAGGAATGATTCTATTGATCAGCACGAGTGCACTGCAAGTGGGAGTAAGCTGTGTGCACGTAACTGGTATGGACCCAACTGCACAGTTTATTGCGCCTCAAGAAATGATCACGCGGGTCATCTCACGTGTCACCCACAGACAGGGCGGTTAATTTGTAATCCAGACTGCTATGGAAGCAGTTGTAGAACCTATTGCGTTCCTCATGATCGTGATTCGCTTGGGCATTACAATTGTAACAAGATCGATGGAAATAAGATGTCTTAAGAACTGCTATGGAGCCCACTGCTCTAATTTCTGTTCTCCTCAAGATAACTCCAATGGGCATTACAAGTGCGATAAAAGAAATCGCAGCAAGATGTGCCTGGATGATTGGTTTGGAACCGAATGCAAAACTTTTTGCAAGACAACGAACAATTCAGAAGGACACTAACGATGTGCCAAAGAGGACGGGACCAAGATTTGTGACCAGAGTTGGTTTGGGCAAAACTGCACTGTCTACTCGACACCAAGAAATGACTCTCAAGGGAATTACGTATGCGATCATCTCGATGGTAGTAATATTTGTCACCAGGATTGGTTTGGTCGGAATTGTTCAATGCATTGTGTACCCAGCAACAACTCTGAGGGACATTACGATTGAGGATCTGAGGACGGTTCAAAAATATGTCACCAAACTTGGTATGGCCCTAACTGTTCTACCAACTGTATCCCTAAGGATGAATTTGCCGGACACTATAGTTGTGATGCCACCGATGGAAGCAAGGTATGTTACCTGCACTGGTATGGACCTCATTGCGCAGCATTCTGCATGGCACAAAACAGCAGCAAAGGGCACTACACGTGTGAGGAAGAGACCAGTCAAAAAATGTGCTTAAAAGGTTGGCAAGGAGCAGCGTGTCTTCAAAGTAAGTGTGCCGAGTTTTGAATGTTTTCCTTTGCTCGTTATCGATCGACCCAGAAAATACATTTGGAACGTTTTTGGATAAAATGACTTTACAAAATGTCGCAAAATATGTAAGGTAAAGTAAGAGTAGTTGCTTTTATTGTTAAACATTTTGTAATTTCAGTTTTGAGGAATTACATCTACCTCTCATCCATCTATGAGGACTCCCTCGTCATTGCTATCTTTCCCAACCGAAAGCAAAACCACAGACCACATTATTAAGACTCCGTTCTACCCTCAGACAGAGATGTCGACCAAAGAATCAAGCATCTGGTCTACGAGGTCGACTGAAGGAGATAGCGCTGGTCATGTACAATAATCCACTATTCGCCCCACGAAAACAATTGTAATTGCCCCGGGAAAAATTACTTGAAAATGATTGGCTGAAAATCGCTTAGCAACGGATGCGAAGGTAAAGAAATTTCGGTTTGTTTTGTAACAATGGCGTCCCTTTTTGCGCGAGATCAGTACGAAAACATTTTGCCCCTTATATTATAAACAAGTAATCACATGGTTCCTCGTAAAATTAAGGATTTATATGACTTGTGTTTTCGGAAGTTGCAGAAATTGCCCTCGTCGCTGCGCGACAGTGATCGTGTTTTACAGTTACACAACATGTAAGAGTCCTGTATGATTGTAATGTTACACTAACCAATCTCTCACCGTAGGCAGAAGCACAAAATTTTTTCACTTTTTTCATCGGTAAATATCCTCTGATCTATTTACTTCCCGATATATCTTAAGGTCTTTTGCGAAACGGCGTATTTAGTTATGTTGTCACACCGATGGTCACAAGACAAGATGAGTCCACATTTATGATATCAGTTGTAATTGCTAACTTTCAAGATTGAATGATAATATCAGTTATTAAAACTTTTAAGACCTCAGTAGTCACTGAGTGGATCGTATATTTTTTATACTACCTTGCCACTATATATTTCAAGACAATTGGCCTGAGGCAGCGGCGTCTGCAAACGAGTTTGGAGACGTGGCACAGTGTGACAGTGACAGAGGGATTGAAGAATTCAACGAGACTGAAATCTTAAGCGAGTGCCTGTCTGCTTCGGAGCAAAGCTATGAAACTGAATCTGACGTTAACAATCACGACACAGATAGTGACATTGATCCAAATACATAACACTTCCGATTTCGTTTACAATCACGTGGGTAGATGACGTGAACTGTGCGCTTGACCCCCCCCCTTACGGCCCCTCTACAAAACTTGAGTACTAGCTATCTAAGTGATGCTGTTTTTCTGAAACACAGCTTCTCAAATTCATGGCTGGAACAATATGCAGTATTCTTAACTGAGAAAAGTAAGGCTCTAAAAACTTTGCAGCCACTCATTCATTTGAAGAAACTATCCAACTCAGCGGCTGAAAAGATTTCTGCTTCTGGTCTGAGCCTTGGCCACCTGCAGTTGGCATACTCAAGGGGAGGAGTAGATGGTCTTTTCAATGTTCTGACAGAAAGTTTGACAGGAAACCAAGGGTAACCACTAATAAAAGAATCATTAGAAATATCTGTAGTTTCTTTCAGGGTGAATGAAGTAAAAGAGCTTAGCTTTCTGTAGCTATCTCTTCCTGGTGTAATAAAACCATGCCACATACTAATGTAAGCTGGACTCATGGCTACATTTTACAGCTATGGTACATTATAGGCAAATAAATTATTATTGTATCTGAGTCATAATCAATAAGGCTTAAATTTGACCCCAACTGAAATTAAATTTCTTATCAAGTGTTACTGTCCATATGTAATTTATCTCGTTATTCATTGCCACAGTCATAGAAATAAAAGATAAAATATTTTGGAAAGTTATCACATCAGCATTGGGAAGGATTTTTATGAAATTAAATTGCAATCCTTATATTTCTTTTGTGTGTGCTAAACAAGCTGAAATCATTTTTGCCGATGATACAAATATGTTTTATTCTTGAAAAGACCCTGAGCAGCTCCAATCAGTTATTGATGAAGAACTTAGAAAGGTCTTAAAATACTGTGCAGTAAATATGTTGTCAATTAATTTCAAGAACACTAATTATATGATTATTACTTCACTTAAAAAGAGAACAAATATCAGAATAACAGCTTGCAATATAGAACAAAAATCTCAGATAAAATATTTGGGGGTTTTTATTGATGAACATTTAAAATGGGATGCTCAGCTCCAGCACATAAACAATAAAATAACAAAAAACTTCGGAATTCTATTTAAGCTTAGACATTATTTACCTGTGAGCACACTCAAACAACTGTACTATA